CAATGTATGGTTACCAAAGACTGGACATTTTATTATTTAAAAATTTTTTAATGTTTTATTTATATTTGAGAGAGAAAGAGACAGACAGTGAGTAAGGAAGGGGCAGAGAGATAGAGACAGAATCTGAAGCAGGCTCCAGGCTCTGAGCTGTGAGCTGTCAGCACAGAGCCTAACATGGGGCTAGAACTCACAAGCAGTGAGATCATGACCTGAACCAAAGTTGGACACTTAACCGACTGAGCCACCCAGGTGCCCCAAAGACTGGACATTTTAATGGTGCCCTTTTAACTAGTTTATTTTTGTATGAAATGTGAGGAATACAGATTCAGATGTAAAAAATGTCACAAATTGGAAACTGTTGAAGCAGGAAGTTTTATGAAATCAGTTTAATGCCACTAAGGGTGAAATAAGAGAAAAAGAGAACAGGCCTATGAATTAAGTCCATATTTGTGTGCTTGTGGTCCCTTCTAGGATTTCATGGAATCCTATAGACTTTATTCACCACCCACATATGCATATATAAAAATATACCATCTATAAATAGCCATTTGCCTTTTCAGTGAAATTAAAGATGGGAGAGTTAGAAGAGAATTTCCCAGTATAATTACAGGGCTCAAACCTACAGTTGTTGTATGCCTATAGTTCTCCCCAAAGAATTTCTAATATCACTATTTTTTATGAAGAGCACTTAAAAAATTATTTAATTGCAAAATGTTGTCAACAGGACACTTATTTATTTATTGCCATGATTTCCCAAATACTACTTAAAAAGATTATGTGTTGCCTAGGATTACTGTGTAGAATAATTTTGGTTTATAAACTATAGAAAATTTTCACAAGTGTTTCTGCTCCTTATCTAGGGATTAACACCAAACTGCTGCCAATGTTTTAAACTCTACACATGCCCTTTCACAAGCACCCTCCCTCACATATTTTCTGCTAATGTGCCTTTTCAAAAATCCGTGAGCTTCTAAAAGTCTTAGGTAAGAATCAACTGTGTAAGGATGCACCCCAATGTAAGAGGAATTAAACCGAACACTTTTATCTTTGCTTACAAAAAAAGCAGGTAGTAATTTATTCATACACAGTCTTTGTTCCTTCACTAAAGACCAACGCTCTTCAATCTCTGAACGTCCTGAAGGACTAGGAAGCTCTGAAAAGAGTAAGGGGACATATTTATAAGAGCAATCACACTGCTCTACCCACACAAGGGTCTAAGTGCCTTTAGCAGTTAATTTGTGAACAAAAAAACCCCATTGGGAGCCTTCCACCTACTCTAAAAGCAAACATTCTTAACAGGCGGTATTAGCGTGGTGTTAAAAGAGGCAGGCTTTAACCTAAAAGGTGTCATTTTATGAGCAAAAACTGGATAAACCTAAAGAGACTTTAAGTCGCTATTTTTTTCCTTCCTTGAAGCCAAAATCTTCACAGGTTAAAATGACCTCACACCCATTGTGATGTTCAAAACCCAGGAGGATCTTAAAAGATGCTCTGCACAGAGTGCAGCGGTGTGGCTCCCTCCTCGTGGTGAGGACTGTCACTGGTTTTCCTTCTGCATGTTTGTAAAACACACCAGCCATGTGAGCAAGCCTGTTAATTAAAACAAAAACAGAACTGTTTCTGTTGAGCTTTAGAAGTGAAGAAGAGTAGAGCTGAGGCGGGGAAGGAGAAATAGCAGCATCCAGTCTGCTGCTGGGTCTTGAGGGCTGCTCAAGAATGGAGCTACTGTTAGGAAAAGCCAGGAAATAGGCACCTGATTTAAAGAAGAGAGACAAGTAGAAAAAGAAAAAATATCTAAGGCTAGTGAAGCTCTTGGAATTGGAAGTATTTAGAATGCCTTTATCATTTCCCTGAGGGACTGTTTAATATCAAAGTGCCTGGTTAGGAAGGCTTCTCAGTCTAATCTGATTCCAAAGTTAGCCTCCCAGACCAGTGAAAAGAATAGCTTCAGTGGCTTCAGGCCATCCTGGGGTCAGGCATGGAGTCTATTCCTGCTGGAGCTGCTGAGTCACTGCCACCTCGGGGAATCACTTGACCTCTGGTTTGGTTGACCTAGAAGGTAGAGTGAAGCCTACAGCTGAGAAGCCTCCATACTAAAGGCCCTTGCTATTAACTGGAATTATTTCCTGACTTTGAAGCCTCCTGAACTCACAGGATTTAAGAATTAACAAATTACGTAAGGTGCATTTGAATACAAAAACACCAATTAAAAAGACACACACACACACACACACACACACAGGATGCGTTCACAGAATTCTTCCCAAGGAAAATATCACCAGAAAAGCAGACCAAAAATATTTTCTAGTCCTCTTTCAAATATGGTCTGCATCTCTGAAGGGTCAGATAGCACCTCTCTAAAAGAGATGCTTAGGGGCGCCTGGGTGGCATCCGAATTCGGCTCAGGTCATGATCTCACGGTTTGTGGGTTCGAGCCCCGTGTCGGGCTCTGTGCTGACAGCTAGCTCAGAGCCTGGAGCCTATCTTTAGATTCTCTGTCTCCCTTTCTCTCTGACCCTCCCCTGCTCACACTGTCTCTACCTCTCTCTCAAAAATAAATAAAACACTTAAAAAAAATAAAAGAGATGCTTATTCTGTACCTTCAATAAGTTATACAAAGCAAGATATGAAAAGGCTTAAGGGTGTGTGGAAGGGTAGTGTGGTGGTAGGCAGGAAGTGGCAACAGAAAAAAAAAAATAAAGGACAGATAAGGCATTCCTTACATTGTATTTTAAAAGGGAAGGAGAAGACTTCACTAATACAGAACATCTATATGATGGACAGATCCAATGGTATCTCTCCCTACCTTCTTTTCATAACACAAAGTTCTGTTCTTTAGCTTAAAGATATATAGGAATTGTAAACTAAATAAACATTCACTTTGTATTAAAAAAATTTATTTTGTGATCTGTACATGTGATAAAGTGGGGCTTCCTTGTAGACTTTTAAAGGAAAAACAAAACAAAAACCCAAAGTAAAAATGTATAAATACAATATATATTTTCTTACAAAAATGGGAGATTTACAAAATATACATACTGCACTTGTCTCTATTTTACAAATTTCACATGCAAGAGATACAACACAAAAGATGCCAAAAACTGTGTAGTGGGAGTTTTAAATCTGACAAGACCATTTTGGAAGTTTAAGAAACACAAGGTTGATGTTAACTTTAATATAAAAAGCAGCTCCACTCAAGTGAACATTACATATATAAAGTAACTTGTACTCCTGACAGTACCCTCTCTGATTTGAAAACTGTTTAAAACAGCATTTAAAAAATTGTTTTGAGAAATAGGATAGTGTTGCAAGATTGGAGAGTAGTGTCAAAGGTGGAGTAAAGGTTAGCTCCCATGATTCTCTGCTCAGCTTTAGAGCATTATGCAAAAGAATCAGAGTTCCATTATAGAAAAAAAAAGTACATGATTTAAGATTAATAAATTTAAGTCATGCAGCACATTTCAAAGAACTCCAGAATTACTTTGAAGTTTACCTTCTTTTAATGACTTTCCTTAAAAATGGGACCCATGGTTTGAACTGTCCGCTTTGTTCATTATCATTTCTGCAGGTCACCACCCCACCCAGCCACACAAAGACAGGGTCAGCATACACATGATGTTTGATAAACGGATTTATGGAACTCAGAAAACAGGACAAAATGGTTCTTTACTTAAAAAAATGTTTTTAACTTCTTTATTAAGGAGGCTGAGGGTATTATGTTTTTCCTTTTATCTTGAAGGATTCAAATTGGAAGAAAATAGAAAATCTAAATGCAGGTTTATAGTAAGAAAAAAAAAAATAAAGGGAGAGATTTCCCTGAACATTTTAACAGAGCCTGTAGACAGGATCATGTGTTCTGAATTAAATTTATTTAAAACAAATACAACAAAACCCCTTGCATTTTCTTTTAGCCAAGTCAGAACCTCTGCCTGACTGGGGTATGGGAGCATACTGCCCTTCACTTTTCCTTAAAAAGGAATGTTTATCTCAGCCAAATTAACATCCAAAAGGAAACCTCTGATTTGTGCTACTTTGCCTATAAAAGTTGCTGTCTTCACAGTTATGCCTTTCCACAGGGAGACACTTTTGTTTCCTCTTTTGTCTCTTACAACAAAGACAAGGGGAAAAATGCACTCCTGTTTTGAAAAGCAACAAGTCATCACTTCTTTTCAGAGTATTAAACCAAATAAAACACCCTTCTTTCTTCCTTCTGCCTTCCGCAGGAAATTTAAAAAGTAGCAGAAATACCTACTACTCCTCTCCTTTGCCTCATCTCAAAATGTTATCTTCATTTCTTTGCATCCTCACATTAGAATTCTAGGAGGCAAGCCTCCCAAGACTTCCAAATGCTTATTTTACAAGAACTTGAAAGGCGTAGGAGAGGAAAAACAGGCGGGAGGGGCCCGGGGAGGAGAGACTGTAATGTCTGACCCTGGAAATTAACCCATCTGGGCTCCAGTTTGGCCCTAGTGAAAAGAGATTATGGTTTGACCACCGCTTGACAAGGACACCGCAGGGAGTCCTCCCTTTTCCCAACAAAGCCGCCGCCTCAGACAGAGCTGTACCTTTCACCCGGGCCTCACAGGAGTGAGGACAGGCCACTTGTCTTGCAGCAGGGGAACCGCTCACAGTCCCAGGACAGCCCTGGAGCCGGGAAGAACTCAGAGCAATCTTTGCTGGGTTCAATCTTGATAGGCCCAGGCTGGCCATACCGTATATGATTAACATCACCGTTATCATCATCATGATGATCATCATCCTGCAAGTCTTTGCCAGAAGTCTTTTCACCCAAACCGTTTTTCCACCTAGGCCTCCTTATCCAAACAAAACCCTCGCCCAAATCTACAAATCTCATCTCTCTTCCAGGTCCCTTCTCCTTGGAGGGTGAGGAGGTTACAGGCAACTCCCCCCCCCCCCCCCAGCAGTTCTCTCTTTCCCGTGCCTCTCCCCCTGCGAGGGGATGGGGGAAGGGAGGGTGGGGGAGGGGCCGGGGCTCATACCGCAGTCTCCCCCTTGCTGCTGTGGCTGAGTCTGTGATAGAAGCGGCGCCACGACTGCAGAGTCTTGCCGGACCAGATCCAGAAGCCAGTCGTGATGCCCACGATCATGGTCATCAGGTACTTGATCATGAAGACAGTGAAATCAGGGCTCATGGGCGGGAAATGGCCAGGCGGGCACGGCACCGCGTAGCTCTTGCAAGTCTGCAGGAGCCAGGTGCGCTCCCAGTGTTCGCGGAAGGCCTGCTCATAGAAGTAGCAGGCCAGGACGATGGTCGCCGGCACAGTGTAAAGCACGCTGAAGACGCCGATGCGCACCATGAGCTTCTCCAGTTTCTCGGTCTTCGTTCCATCGTGTTTCATGATGGTGCGAATGCGGAAGAGCGACACGAAGCCGGCCAGCAGGAAGGACGTGCCAATGAAGAGGTAGACGAACAGAGGCGCCAACACGAAGCCTCGCAGCGCATCTACGCTGGACAGGCCCACGTAGCACACCCCACTGAGCAAGTCCCCATCCACCTGGCCCATGGCCAATATGGTGATGGTCTTGACAGCAGGCACGGCCCACGCGGCCAGGTGGAAATACTGCGAGTTGGCTTCAATGGCCTCATGGCCCCACTTCATGCCAGCTGCCAGGAACCAAGTGAGCGACAGGATGACCCACCAGATGGAACTGGCCATGCCGAAGAAGTACAGCACCATGAAGAGGATAGTGCAACCCTCCTTCTTGGTGCCCTGCGCCACCGTGCGGTAGCCGTCATCTGAGAAGCGCTCCACGCACACCGCGCGGTCCTCCAGCAGGAAGCCGGCCACGTGCGCCACGGCCACCATGAAGTAGCAACCCGACAGAAAGATGATGGGCCGCTCGGGATAGCTGAAGCGCCGCATGTCCACTAAATAGGTGAGCACGGTGAAGAGCGTCGAGGCGCAGCACAGCACCGACCACACGCCCACCCAGAGACGGGCAAAGCGCCTCTCCTCCTCCTTAAAGTACATTAGGCCGTTGGCACGGCCCGGCTCACACGGGGCGCCGCAGTCGCGCTCTCCCAGGAAGCGGTAGCCCAGGTAGGGGGGCACCTTGAGCTGGCGGGGGCACGAGAAGGGGAAGGCAGAACGGCCCCTGCCGTCAGCGGCCCCGGGGGGCAGCGCGGTGAAGGGCAAGTCCGGCATGTAGGGTGCGGTGGGGTAGGCTGTGGGGCCGCCACCTGGGCCTCCGGAGCCGTCGGACGTGTTCTGGCCCACGCAGATCTCGCCGGCGCCGTGTACCGGGAAGTTCTCGCAGCGCAGCCGCTCGGGCCACTGGAAGCCGAACTTGTTCATGAGCGCTTCGCAGCCCTGGCGGGCACGCTCGCACAGAGAGCGGCACGGCGGGATGGCCTGATCAAGCACCGTGCACACGGGTGCGTACATAGAGCACAGGAAGAAGCGCAGCTCAGGAGAACACTGCACCTTCACCAGCGGGTAGAACTGGTGTACCTCGAGGCCCGCGTCCTCTTGATTCGTGTGGCCTAGCAGGTTGGGCAGGATGGTCTGGTTGTAGGCAATGTCCGTGCACAGCGGGATGGAGATGGGCTGGCAGAAGCCGTGGTCCGGCACCGAGATGCCCTTCTCGCCGTGGTAAGGCTGCGCCCCGGCACCGGCGGGCAGCGCACCCAGCAACGCAAGCACTAGAGTGCACAGGCCCAGGGGCGAGCGCGACGCGGCCGCGCCGGGGCCCCGCATCGCCGGCCACGGGTGCAGCGGCGCTCTCAGCTGGAGGAGCGCAACGAGGCAGCCGAGAGAGGCTTGGATCCCGGGAGGCGCGGCCGCGCCCGGCGCATGAGAGTCCTCCCGGCGCCGAGGCCGGGCCGTGGGCGGCGCGCAGCTGAGGGCGCTGCAGCTGGGGTGCCCGCGCGGCGGGGACGCCGCAGCCGTCTCCGCCCAGCACTCGATCAGTCGCGGGGAGCCCAAACTCGTCGGCCTGGGCCGGGGGCGCCGAGGGGGGCAGCTTTCTTCTCCCACCGCGACGTAACGGTGCGGCTTCTTCTGCGACGAGGAGCAACAAGCGTCTCCGGTTACCCTTCAAACTTTGCCCAAGTCTCTTGACCCACAGCGCACAGTAAGGCACGCGCCCCCAACACCAAGTCCGGCCCGGGGCAGGCGAGAGCCCGGCGCCGCCGCCTGCGAGCCGAGGCCGTCGCCTCCGCGGTGCGGCTCCGCCTCTTCGCCTCCAGGCTCTGCTCGCCGCCGCCTCCTCCTTCGTCTCCTTTTCTACTCCCCCGTTCCTTCTTCAGCCCCAAAAGCTCGGCCCCCAAGTTTCTGCCAAACGGGCGATTCTCGTTCTGAGTCGGATCGGCGCCTTAGAGCCAAGAGCTCAGCGAGTTCTTTTTGGAAATCCAGTTACACTGCGTTCCGAAGCTGCGAGGGCCCTGTGCCCGCGGCCTGGGCCTGGCCTCTCCAGCCTCGCGAAGCCCTGGCCCGTGAGTCCCAGCGCCCGCCGCCGCCGCCCGCCGGGAGAGAGCGCAGAGTAACGCCTCTGAGTCGCGCAACTCGCCAGAAGAAGCGTCGGGCTCGCAGGGTTCCGGGCCGCCCCGCCCCCTCCCCTCCCCCCATTCACAAACCACTCCGGGGGCGGGCCCTCGAGCTCCAGGGCGGCCCAATGGTAGCCTTTGTTTTCTGCGCGGCGGCCTCCGGATTGGATGGAAGTCGGAAGGGCCGGGCGAGGGAACCGGAGAGGCGGAGTCTGCAGCGCTCTGGGCGGATTCCTGAGGGGAGGGGCAGGGGGCTGGTACCGAAAAGTTAAGAAAAACTTTTACGGTGAATTCGCTTGAGGGTGAGGGGGGTAAACGCACCAGAAAGGGAATTTGCTTTAAGGATTTGTTCCTCTTCTGAGTACACTAAAATACACATTCTCGAACAGGAGGGCGCATGGAGAGAGGCTTTTGCTGGAAGAAGGTGGGAATAGCGCAGCGCCTCAGAGGAGAGACTTGATCAGGAGTCACGTTAGACTTGCCAAGGCTGAAAGTGCTGGGTTTGGCAAGGGGGCTTTTGGGTATCTGGATCCTAAATGTGAGGTTCGGTGCCGAGAGAGAAAGGGGTGCGCTTCGCAGATCGCTTTTTTCTCCCCAGACCCAAACCGAACACGTGAGGCCACAATCCCTCTCACCCCCTCTCCCCGGTTGTAAAAAGGAGGAGGGGCCGCGCCCAGGGAGAAATCGGAGTCGGGAGGAGGGGGCCGACTTAAAGGCGGGAGGAAGTGCAGACCCCTCCGAGGAGTGAGGGCCCGGGAGCGGCGGGCGCGGGGCCCGCGGGGCCCCCGGGCCCCCAGGCCACCCCTCCCGCGCGTACGGCCCAAAGTATATAAGTCTGGTGTGGTTTTAGTGCGGTTATGAGAAAACTAAGACAGTGTTGTGGGGGAATGGTTATAGAAGTACCTGAGACGGAATGCCCAGCAACACACTGTACGGTTTAAAGTGCGCCTTCGATTGCGGTGCTTTCCGTAGTTCTTCGGCATGTGGCATTCGTGATCTCCACGATGCAGAAGCAACGACTTGATCGTCTAGTTGAAACGTACACAGAAAAGTTTTAATGCGCAATGGAAACCAGGGCATTTGCTAATTAAGGCGTTTTCGAAACACAAAGAGAGGTTATACGTGTTCTCGAGTGGCGTTTTCTGATTGGCAAGCGATCTTTTGTTCCCGGGTCAAAGCTTCGCCCTACTCTCGGCACTGGCGTTCCCGTGCGCTCTCCGGTTACTCCCGGCGAGGTCAGAATTTACTGGGCGGGGGGGGGGCCTCTTCCCTCTACTCTGGGCAGCACAGAATATCATGAATTCCCATGCAGGACAGTGACGTATTAAGAAAGGAAAAATTTGTAACTCGCTTACCGTTTCTCTCTCTCTCTCTCTCTCTCACACACACACACACACACACACACACACACAAATCAATACTGTGCTCAAGAAAACGTTCCTCCTGCCAGTCTCAGGTCCAAGGCGCAGGAACCTGATCAGAATTCCCTCGAGGTTGTGTATTTGCAGAAGTTGCTGCCTCTGCTGCCTCACGTGAGCTTCTTCTCTAGTAAAGAAAAACTGGTTCTGGAATCTACGACAGTTAATTGGGTTCCCTTTATGGGAGACTTTGGTTTCCTCTTTTTTTCTTTTATTTATTTTTTATTACTAAAGTTTCCTGAGCATCTTACTTTTCACTTCACAGTTCTTTGTCGTTTCCCACTCTTGTTAATGGATCTGGAGAGACGAATCATTTGGGCCAAGATAGGGTGTCAGACTGCTCACATTCTCCATCCGCCCCTCCACAGGAGTCCTTATATTCTTTTTCTTCCAAAGCATCAGTTTCCCCCTCACACCCAAGACCTTATTTGTTTTCTATTGGGTTTTCTGTCTCAGAGTAATACAAAGGATTAATGACATTTGCTTTAAAAACAGTTTATTCCTTCCTTGTATTTTTTTAAAAGCTCCCTTTTGCTTTCTAAATTATTATTCTTACTACCTAACATTGGGGAGCATTGATACTGCCTTGAAAGATGTTGTTTAAAGACAATGCTGCTGCTTTGCTTTGTCATTTAAAGTGTGTGTGGTAGGGGGTTGGAAATCCTTTTTTCTCTCTCTGAGCTTCTGGATATCCTCCTTTTCTAAATCAAATTTTCATGCTTATTCATCAGGCCACTGATCTAAGTCATCTTTGCTTATTGAGGGAGAAATTGCAAGCACTGTCATCAAATAAAATGAAAACCGACAGGATAAAATACTGTGTCTCAAATACAGCTAAAACCAGTTTAGTTGACGAGTTTTTACTCCCCATATCATAGCCCCAGACAGCTTGCTGATGATAGGTAATAGGGATAATTATTTAGAAAGAAAAAAGGAGAACCTTTTAAGAAATTACAAGGGGTGAATGGAATATTTTAAAAACAGTCTACGCATAAGATGCAGAAAACCAGTGCCATGGAAAGTATCACAGATGTCTTGTTTCTCTGTCCCAGGAAGATAAGTGCAAAAAGCATAAAAGAAAAGACTAATTTTTTTGGAGAGTATTTTGTTTTTTAAAATGACTTTTAAAAGCCTACTCCACAATTATTCTGAAAAATAAGGATTTGCTGTTTGTGAGAAGGGTGTGGTAGCTGCCCATGTCTTGCCTGATACAGAATGCTATGATTTTAAAGAGCTAAGTAATAAAAAAGAGTAAACCAGAAAAGCAAGTTCACAATGTAGGGGGCTAAATAGTCTGTTTTAGGCTCTATGGTAAATTTAGTAACATTGGTTCATATTCTGTACAGGATCAATTTAATTTTCTTTTCCAAGCAACTCTTTCCACACCCAACTCCCAAAGTCACTAACTGGTATCATCTTTGGAGAGCTAAGGGTGGAAAATTTTGTAACTGTCTGCTACAAAACTTCCAATTGTCCCTGCCCTTTAAAATAACAAAGGCTTTTATTTCTTCACATCATAGTCATATGGTCTCACAGAAAAGTGATGGTATTCATTGGCTCCAGTTATTTAAATGCTACTTATTTTGGCCAAGTCCTGGGTTTAACTAGTTGAATTACATTCTGATGTCAGGCCAGATTTGAAAATGGCCACCTTCATGATGCCACTATCCTGTCTGTGGTTGTAGTGAAACTCCAGCTGCAAGAATTACTCATGCAAAACAAGAAAGGGCAGCTTTAGCATATAATACCCTTTTTGGCCTCTCTTTTACCAATTTTTGACTTTATAACATTAAGGACTTGGAATTTTGAGTTGCCAGGTTGTCACTGAATTCCTTTCATTGTAGTTGGGGGTGTTGGATTGTTCCCAGAATGGGAACATTCTTATCCCTAAGCAGACTTTCACATGTAATGACAGTTAGAGATATCTAGATTCAATAAGAGGAAGTCCATGCTGAAGTCCTGATAAGTGTGATAGTCCCCACCCAGTAGAGATGATTCATATCGTTCAATCTGTTTGACCATTTCTCTTGTTGCTTGAGGGTTGCATTAGTTATCTATTGTTGTATAACAAATTAGCCCAAAACTTAGCACCTTAAAACCACAGACACTTAATATTTTACAGTTTCTGGGTATTGGGAATCTGGATGTGCTTAGCTGTGTCCCCTGGCCCCCTGGCTTGGGATTGCTTACGAAACTGCAATCGGGGTGTTGGTGGGGCTACAGTTACCTCAAGGTTCTATTGGAGGAAGATCCACTTCCAAATTCACTCGTGGCTATTGGTAGGCCTCAGAGTATCCATTTCTAAGGTCATTACATGGCTCTTGGCAAGCCTCAGGTTCTCACTAGCTGTTGGCCAAAGACATCAATTCCTTGCCTTGTGGGCCTCTCATAAGGCCACTTTTAACATGGCACCTTGCTCCCCCAGAGCAAGTGCTGAGAGAAAGGGAGGGAGGGAAGGAGGGAGAGAGAGAAAGAGAGAAAGAAAGAGAGAGAGAGAACACAGAAGATAGCAATCAAGATGGAAGTCATAGTCTTTCTGTAATCTTAGAAGTGACATCTTCGGGTGCCTGGGTGGCTCAGTCGGTTGAGCATCTGACTTCAGGTCATGATCTCATGGCTCATGAGTTCGGTCCCCATGTTGGACTCTGTGCTAACAGCTCAGAGCCTGGACCCTGCTTCAGAGTCTGTCTCCCCCTCTCTCTCTGCCCCTCCCTTGCTCTCTCTCTCTCTCTCTCTCTCAAAAAATAAACATTTAAAAAAAAAGAAGTGACATCCTGTCACTTTTGCCATTCTCTATTCATTAAAAGCAAGTCAGTAGGACTACCTACATTCAAAGTGTGGCAGGGATTTCTCTGAGGCATGAAAACCCACTGGAGGGTGAGGATCATTAGGAGCCATTTTAGAGACAGTTTACCATAAGAATTATTCATTCATTCCTAAAGTATTATGGAGACGGGGCTGCAGAGAGAAGCAACTCTTGGGTCCCTGCCCTTGGGGAGTCCAGAGAAAGGTTCACAAATAAAAACACATGCAAATTGGTTTTGACGCCATTTAAATTTGTTAGGACAGAAACCTAATTCTAGCCAACCATTTTTTAAATATAT